ATCACTTTTAGTCAAACTCAGAAGAAACATGCAAGTACACGGTCCTTCAAAGATTTTAAGTTTACAATACACTGTCACAAGGTTACATCAGTGGAGTTTAATATATACAGTCCATGTTACCTATAAGGGCTCATTTGGCCAGCCATATATTTTGAAGTTGTACTTTTAGGTTTCATCACACAATGGTTTTAAATTTTTAATTAACAGGGATGGAGAGATCAAGTAGCTCTAAACAGCAGAAAGTTTGAATTCAAAAGAATATGAAATGAAAAAGAGCAAGTACAACAATATAAACGCTTTTGTATAAGTAAAATGTATTATTAGAAAACTCCAAGAGGAAACAAACCAAGGACAAGTAAACATTATAACAGTGGGTCCTATCATTAAAATTCAGAAAAGGTGGTTGCCAAATAACAAACTTTTTAACAATCCAACGCCTAATCATTAACTTCTTCTTTTCAAGAGGAAAAATATATGTCAACTAACTCTATAAGTCACCACTAGGCCTCTATCTCATCTATGTTACTGGTCCCTGCAGGCCCTATAATGTTTTAATCCATCCACGAAGAGAAGAACAACTAGAGAATGCTCTAAGACTATCTTACCTTTGGAAACTTCATCGCCAATGAACATAATAGTCACTAATTCATTGTTTTATTCTCTCAATAACATTTTTCCAGTCTTCAGGGCCTCTAATATAGGACCCAGAAAAGAGAAAACCAGAGCATAATCATGATACCTATCGTCACCGAAAAAAGAAAAAAAAAAACACTTAGAACTTACATTCTATGGGGTTGTCGCGCGTAGAAGTGTTTGCATTTCCTTCCCATTCTGAATTCACTGCCACATTTTGTTCATTAGTCGTTGTTGAAGAGCTCTGCAAAAGCCTTCTTTGTTCACCACCTCTTGGGTCAGGATCATTCAACTCATAAGCATGACCAAAACCAAGATCATAATATGAAGTATTCCCAGGTTCAGATAACCCAAACTTGTAATAATTTGTATTCATTGTTGGGTAAGCACTCTCCTACACACATAAGAAGGAAAAATCTTATTGTACACGGAACAAGATGTAAAATCTGCAGTGATTTCCACTGCAAGCAAGAAATTGAAAGAAATGTCCTTTGATAGATACAATACAGACAAACAATCCAAGGTTCAAATGTTTGCATTATCGATAGTAGAAAGTTAAACAAGAACTCATTACGTATGAGTGGTCCTAAATTTTGGAAACAGGATAAAAGCCAAGGAATAATACTATTGATTCATACTACACATTAGTATATTTTGAGCCTGGTTTCCATTTAATGCATGTAAAGACTCATTAAATGAATCACCATTTATGGAAAGTTGAAGGAAACCTTTATGCTGATATTTAGTGGAAAGTACCTGAGCATGTGAATCGCCTGAAAAAATAAAGTTCACATGTTCATAGGTAAGACCTTCAAAATACTCCATAAAGCTACCCGCCGTGCTATAAGGACAGCCGGTGTAGGTGTAATGAACTTCCATGTGCGGGTTCCAACTCATTTTCAGCTACAAGACAGACGAGCAATCTAAAGGGCACAAAGACAAGAAATGAGTATTTACAGGGTGAAGAGACCATAAGGTCAACAAACAAACTAATTGGCAGATGCAAACCTGATCTTTCGACAAATTCTAGCACCCAATATCATATAACAGAACTCAGGCCAAAAAGTGCAATCACTTTTGCACATTTAGAAATTCCTGCAAATCAAACCAAGGATCAAAATTTCATCTTAGAGAAAATTCAAGAACTCACCAACAATCAAATTCATACATAGAGCAAATAAATCATGAGTTTTAGGATGGAAGATGGACGAAAAAAGGAAATCAAAATGCTTCCAGATTCATATAGTTTCCCATAATTTCATAATTCAACTGGCATTGGCAGATCTAAGCAGTTTTCTAAAATTATTCATCTCCATTTCTTCTATTTAAGGGAAGGATCAATTTCAATTAGTTATTAAAGGAAACTCATTTCCAAATTTTCTTATATTTATTCAGGAAGCCTCCACAATGAATTTCGCCTAAAATTTTCCTTCTGATAAACTCTCTAATGGAATAGTTTCCGTTCAACCAAACACAAAAGGAGAAAAAAATTCAAATTAAAAAAAAACTGATAATAAGAAAACGAATCGCTGTTGAAACCACAGCATCATTATCACCACAATTAAACTTAAAATGCAGATTCCAGCCGGATTGTTTTAGTTTTTGGATGAGCTGTAGAGAAAATATAATGGTCTGAACTAGAAAGAAATTCATCACTAGGAAATAGAAATAACTTTAGAAAGAAAATCATTAATCATTTGATCCAAAACAAAACAAAAATTCCTCTCATTTCGTTTCCTTTCCTTTCCTTTCCTTTCAACTTTCTCCGCAACCAAACGCAAACAGAGCCCGCCAAATCTACCTAATTATACGGCATTGATCTCGAAGCGCTCTCTAATAACACCAAATCAACCAAACAAAATAGAAAAAGAAACTCCACAAGCAGAGAAAATACGACGGAAAATGAGAGAGAAAGTCTGAACGGATCAGAGCAAGTAAAACAAAGATATATAATCAGAAGATGAAGAAGACTGATTCGATAAGTATGAAAGTGAGGGATCAAAGAACCGACATTGTTGGCTTTTCTCCTCAGAAGTGCTTCTTCCGCTTCTGTTTGAAGAAAAGGGCTTATCTTCTTTGGTCTCTGCCTCTCTCTCTCTCTCTCTCTCTTCTGCGTCTCTCTCTCTGTTGTATTAGTATGTAATTGGAGAGAGAATCCCGAGTGTCTGCAATGGCTTTATGCAGTGGTTTCAGTGACACGCGAAGTCCGTTTGATGAGGAGATTGGGATCTGCTGTCACGCGTCCTATGCTAAAGAATCATCGCATGTCTCTGCCTTTAACCGTTGCTTTTCCATCATAGCTATTAGCTACTGGGACAAATATTTGTATGTCACATGGTCTAAAATATTGAGGGTTCGGAAATATCGGTGGTCCAAAAACACAGATATATCAATGGAAATATCGAGAAAATATCGATATCGATAAAAATTGAATAAAAATCAGGGAAATTGTAAGAAAAACTTAGAAATTTTTATTGAAACTTTAGAGGATGTTTATTTAGTCAATTGTCTATTATTTTATCACAAAAAATTGGAATAAAATGCATGGCATTGTGGGTTTGAGTGATTTAAGTTGATTATGCAGCAACCTAACAAACACCGTATCTTTAGAAAATATGTAGTAATTAGTGAAAGAAAATTAAACGCACCATAATTTTTTAGTTATAATAATGTACTACAATATATTGCATATGATAAGATATATGAGCTTGACATAAAAACAAAAATAAAATATATGAGTAACTTAGTACCACATAAAAAAAATTCCTATTAAAGTTAAAACTTAGTATCACATATAATGAACAATATTAAAACTCAATAGTGAATAATAATACAACTCCATAATATATAACCAAAAAAAAAAACTCCATAATAAAATAATAAATAAAATTAAACATATGCCTAAATTTATCATTAGGGATTTTTTTTTAAATGGAAATTTATCATAGAGAATATTAGCTTGCAGAAATTTTTAAGACCATATAAATATTACACGTCGTAACATTATTAACAAACTCATTTACAGCGTGTTGGATAAGGCCCAGTAGATGGATGGGAAAGAGAGTGGTTTGAATCCCCTTATTGGCAAAAGCGTCATTTGATTATACGATGTGACAAATTTTACACTATATAATATAATATTAATAAATATACATGTGTTGTGGATGTAAACTTATTTTTTCCTCGAGAAGCATTATGTAAATTTGAATTTGTATATTTTAGGCTTAGCCAAATTGGGAATGTATATATATGGGCTTAGTCAAATTGGCTAGAACGGATATGCTCCTCACTCTATACCCGAGTTCAAATCCCCCTTCTCATAATTTAAGTTAATTTAAAGTAAAATATTGCTTGTGTAAACAAAATACATTATCCTCCATATTCTTAATTTCTTATCTTTAAAATGGGGGAAATAAGAGATGCAATAATTCTCAAGAGTCATGCGCTGTAGAATGCGCGAGCTGAAACATTTGATTACCGGCTTGGGGTCCACAGCCATTGGATCAATGATCCCAAATCCTGAGATTTGTGGTGTGGGGTTGCAATGAGTAGTTGGCTTGCATATGGAAAAAGGGCAGTCGCATAAATTTGGTTGAAAATAGATCACCAAAACCATCTGACTTCCCTCCCCCGACCCCCCAAAAAAAAGAAGTTGGTGTCAGTTAAGGTTCGTTAGGACTCTCAACTCAACTTGCAAGCTATTTTTTCTTTAAAAGAAAAAGGTGCTCTAAACTAAACTAAAACAAAAGGGGAATGACAGAGCGGAGTTAAAGTGGATATGCTTCCTACCCTGTACTTGAGTTCAAGTCTCCTTCCCGTAATTTAAATATGCTTCCTACCCTGTACTTGAGTTCAAGTCTCCTTCCCATAATTTAAATTAGATTCTATTAGAATATCGTTACAAAAACAAAAGGGAAATGAGAATGACTTAGCTGTGTTTCTTTCTTCTCTATGACTTCATCAATAATGATGTGGATGGGAGGGGGCCAACTATGTTCTAAAGTTTTGTTGGTGGGGGTGGTTCCCTTTTAACACATGACATGATTGAACAAATAAACTATAACCCCGGGCACGCAAAAGTTTGTGATGAACGCCGATCCCACTTCTAGTTGGTGCAATCTTCTTCTTTTTTGTCTGTGGGTGGCTGCGGTTCCATTAAAATCAATTTTATTTTCTACTGTCTCCAAATTTCAACGGAATGGACCAAATTCACTTTTTAGAATATTGAATTAAACGAAATTTGTTGAATTGTGTTATTGTGTTTGCATTAAGCACCAGGTATAATTACTACATTTAAGTGATGCTAAGCAAAGGGATTACTAGTGATGGGAATCAAACCCCATCATAACCATTGGAGGACCCAAAATAACCAATGAAAATGAAGTTGTGATGCTATCAACATGATCGCTACTTGCCCCAAATGTGGGAAACAAAGAAGGGAAGGTAAAAAAATGTATTCTTCCATCTCTCTCTCTCTCTCTCTCTCTCTCTCTTCCCCCAATAGTTTTTGATAGGCGACTTGAGCTTTTGGTGTGCCATGGATAAGGACAAGAGCAGGTCGTCTGACCAAAATGGCAAAGGCTGTCAGGCATGTGAAGGAGAGAGGTAAAGCTTTAGGTGAATAAGAGCAGAGCAGACATGAAATGAGTGATGAGGAGGATGGAATAAAAACCTGGCGTGCAAGGGAAGTGAAGGACAAATCATAAATATTCTCTGTTCTTTTTGTCTGCCGAAGTGTCGTTTGCAATCAAAAATAAGCTGGCTGCGTTTTGTCCCAATTGCTACCTGGGGTGGGGCCCCATTAATTCGACTTTGCTTTCTTCTTTCTCATTGCTACTCCACAAGCCGCATGCATTTTTAGACATGCTCTTTTTGACGCAAATCTACCCCAACACTTAACTTCAGATTCATTTCAAGCCCTGAATAAAACACAAGAACTTATTCTTACAATCAGAGAAAGGAACCATTTTGCACTCAGCATTGCTATCAGAAAATCAAAGGTGAAGCTGCCAATGACTGTGTGAGTGAGAGAGATAATGGACCAACAGAAGAAGTGAAGCAGTTGAAGAAACCAACAATGGATCAGGGGCAGCTCTGTATGCCTTTCCTGTCTAAACTCTGCTGCCCTTAATTATATTCAGTTACCTCGTGCAGAAAATCTCTAATAAAGAGCAGATCACGAAAAGCACATCGAGAAATTTCCAATACCTTGGCATAGGATGGAACTGAGATGTACTTGGCTAGCAACCTTGAGAACATTTTGGTGCTGCTTAAGAACAGCTACCATGTTTTCCTTGTAAGAACCCTGGCGTTAGTGCAACAAGTATTGTCAGTCAGTAAGACAAACACAGAAACAAATTCATTCAGGAAACTTGTCATATTATTTTTTTTGCAAAAACTATGTCAACCCGGAAGGAGGGGTGGACAAATTTGAAGAATCATACAAATTAGAAAGCAAAAGGAGAAAAAGAAACAGAAATGCAGCTTTAAGAATTCATACCAAAGTAGAGGCACCAAGGATAAATAATTAATAGAGAAGTTATTCAGTTGTTGCAATCATATTACCCTCCAAGTTTGGTTTTAGATACTCTTCGAAGCAAACTACAGTCTGGAAATGCACTCGTTGCACATTGTCTGACAGTTCGAAATGGAGGCCTTCTCATCTGCACTCTTCTCCTTCACCTGCTGAATCAAACTTGTGGCATAAAATTCAGCACCAAGGTGGAATTTTCCCAAAATGCAGGAACTTCTGATATGCTGCCAACAAGCTCCATTTGTCTTGTTAACTCAACCAAACAATCATATATCTGTTTTGACTGAGGGTGCGATTTGTCTCTAACAATAAACTCATGTACAGCGCCATTCACCTCAATTGAGCTACAACCAGGAGTTTTCTCAACTCCTCTCTCCTTCATCATACTTTGTGCCTTCTCTGCCTCCTCCCACATATGTGATTCCCTATACATTTTTGCAAGCAAAACGTAAATTCCACTATCATGAGGGTCCAGCTCAAGAAGCTTGGAAGCGGCTCTTTCTCCTATCAAAACATTTTTATGAATATAACAAGCAAAGAATAATGCACCCCACACCACAGCATCTGCCTTGATTGGCATGCTATGGATAAGCTCTTCTGCTTCTTGCAAAAGACCAGCCCTGCCTAGAAGGTCCACCATGGAAGAGTAATGTTTAAGTTCAGGGCAAAGATTGAATTTAGAGGTCATTAAGGACAAGTACTTACGACCATCTTCAACCAAACCTCCATGACAACAAGCTGATAAGACCCCAAGAAAAGTGATCTCATCTGGCACCAATCCTGTATTTATCATCTCCGCAAAGTAAGATATGGCAATATGTGCATGTCCATTAAGGGCTAGCCCACAAATAATAGCTGTCCAAGTGAAAGAGTTTCTTCCTGGCATGTCCCAGAAGACCTTGAGAGCCTTTGTGATATTACCACATTTAGCATACATGTCGACAAGGGCAGTCCCCACAGCAACATTTATAGAAAGACCATGTTTTTCAATATAATGGTGAATCCATATCCCAACATCAAGTGCTCCAATTTGTGAGCATGCACATAAGCAGCCAACCATGGTTATTTCATCAGGATTTATATTACTAGCTTGCATTTCATGAAACAGAGCCAAAGCCTCCTTGCTATGCTTGGCTTGCACATAGCCACCAATCATTGCATTCCATGGCACAACATTCTTCTCTGGAATCTCATACAATAATTTGTGAGCAATTTCCAGAAACCCATATTTGGCATATCCCACTATCATTGTAGTCCATGAGACAATGGTTTTCTTTGTCATGTTGTCAAATAATGCTTGAGCGGCCTCAATATTCCCACACTTCATATACATGTCCATAAGTGAATTTGCAAGAGGAACTGTCAAACTTAGTCCATTCTCTTCAATCAACCGATGAAATTTTCTCCCAAGTCTCAAATCCTCTAGTTGGGCACATGAAGAAACCACTCCAATCATTGTAACTTCATCCGGCTTAAATCCCTCCAACTCCATTTCCTGATAAATCCTTAACGCCTCACACGCCAACCCACTTCGGACATAACCATTAATCAAAGAATTCCAAGAAACCAAATCTCTCACACAACCTTCATCAAACACCTTACGTGCGGCCTCTAATTTTCTGCATGAAACAAGCATATGAATCACAGCATTGTGAACGAACATATCCAAATATAAACCCAATCGCATTACATGCCCAAGAACCTCGCGACCCATAAAATTCAACTTTAAATTAGCACAAACTTTCAACAATAACGGGTAAGTATAATTATCCGGTCTCGACCCACCATTTCTCAACATTTTCTTATACAACACAACTGCTTCTCTCGGATTCTCGCTCTCCGAATACCCTCTAATGACCACATTCCAAGAAAACACATTTGGGTTCTGCGTATTGTACAAAATCTTGTTACAATAATCAAGATTTCGCGACTCTGAGAGCGCACAAAAGGCGATTAGGCGACTCGAAGCAAACCCATCTGAGATTAGCCCCGTGAGGATCATTTGGGATTGGATCTGCTTCAGCTGGGACATGGATTTGCATGTTTCTAATAGGGAGAGAAGTGGGTTTGCTTGAACTGATTTGTGGGTTGTGTTCCAATTGGTGGGCTTGTGTTTGTGGAGTGAGAGAAAGCGGGTGTGGAAGAGAGAAAGGAGAGGGTCTGAGACTGGCTTTGGAACGAAACGTGGAGGTCTGACTCTGAGGGTGGACATGGAGATAGAGAGGAGGATGATGAGCATTAGATTTGAGTATCGGCATTGGTGTGTGATACTGGCGCGAAATGCTGTTGGTTAAACACTCAAAAACTTGTTCATTTGCAAAAACTTTTAAATAAATAAATAAAAGCAAAACTTGAGGAAGAAAAGGAGAACTTATAGTAAAAACTTCTCTACCCTACAGCATGTTGTTGGCTGGGACTGAATTGAATTATGAAGTAGAATAGGATCGTATTTGATTACATTGAATTGGAGATGATAACATTAAATCAATAATGTGCTTGGTACTACAAATAATTAAGAAGCTAGATTAACTGAAATACGATATTATACATGGCCTAGGAGGGTTAGACATAATCTCATCCAACTTAATCCTAATTTTTGGATGAGATTCATAATCCTACTACATTTTGGCCTAGTAGTATAGGACATCATCCAATTCAAGTTGTTTTCATGCCACCAAAACATTTGATTAGGATTATGAATCTCATCCAGCTGTATAATCCAGGTCACCAAACGGACCAGTGAAGGTGATGCTCTATTTATTCGGGCATCTCCAACAACACACTCTATTTGTTTGCTAATTTTGAGTTAAGAAGTGTTAGAAAGCTAATCAGTTTTATATGACTACTCTTGACTAAAATAAAGAGAAGGATGGGGAGATTTTCCTTCATCCACTCTCTATTCTAGCTAAGGATCTCCTTGAAGGAGTCTCATGGAGATGCTCTTATTTCAATTGTTATGTATTTAGTTTTAGAAATAGTAAAAAATTATGATGAACTGCCAAGATAAATATGTAAAGAGAAGAACCAGTATTTAAACATTAATTTAACAAATGAGCTCTGAACAGCTCTTATAGCCAGGACAGTGAAAGCAAAACTCCTGGAATATGGAACAATGCTTAGGAGACAAAATCCTCTAACACTAGGTTATTGAGTGAAAATCCCCTGACAAAAAAATTTAAAATATAACTCAAGATGAAAGTTTGTTGTTTTTTCATCAATATCTGTAGCTAAATGGGGGGTTGGATTGTGGAATTGTCCATTCATTTTTAACTCAAGCCCCACCAGAACCATACTTCTTTCCAAACACTAGCACCTGAAGCTTGTCATAACCTGCAAGCACACCAGCACCAGCAACTGCACGAAGAATATTAGCACCGGCACCCTTGAAGAGAGATTTTGCACCCTCATTCTTCAGGATCTGAGAGAAAGCGTCGAGCGAGCTCTTGTACTTGACGGCTTCACCAGACGTCATCATCATCCTTCTACGGACAGTGTCAATTGGGTAAGAAGCAAGTCCAGCGCCGTTGGTGATAACCCAACCAAGACCAAAGCTAGCAAAGAAACTATCCTGGAATTGTCCAAAAAATTAAAAATAGAAAACATGTGAGATAATCGACACAAGTTATTAAGAACCATTCATACACAAACTGATTGTTGAGAGAAATGAAGAGAAATGATAGTCACTTACCTGCAGCTTTCCAGTGAGGATCACAGGCTTCAAAGAATCGTACATTCCAAAGTACAGACCACGGTACACGATGATGCCAACACAAGAAATGTTGAAGCCACGGTAAAGGCCAGCGATACCATCTGACTTGAGAGTCTTTTTGTAGACATCAACCAAGCCATTGAATTGCCTCTCTCCTCCCTTCTTTGCAGCCTTGGAGTCATTTGCAAGACGGGTACGAGCATAGTCCAAAGAATAGACAAAGAATAAAGAAGAGGCACCAGCAGCACCACCAGATGCCAAGTTACCTGCAAACCATTTCCAGTAGCCATCCCTGTCCTTCTTGAAGTTGAACAGGCTCTTGAAGTAATCTTTAAACGCAAAGTTTAAGGCCTGCACAGGAGACAACAATATAAGCACATTGCATTAAGACTAAGAGATAACAGAGAGAGAGAGAGAGATAGATGAGTGTAGTTAAAAAACTGGCAAAAAATGGGAATGACAGACCTGAGTTGGGAAGTAACGGATGACATTTGCTGTGTTCCCTCTCCACAATGCTACCATTCCCTCGTCCTTCATAGTTCGGCTAAAGCAGTCTCCGATTCCCTTGTAGGGTTCAGAAAGCCTACCAGCCTTGATCATCTCATCCTGATTCTGAATCAAGAGCTTTACGCGCTCAATTGGAGCAGCAGCAGTCTTGGACACAGCAGCAGAAACACCACCCATTAAGAAATCAATAGCGAAGCCCGAAAATCCTTTCTCTTTTGGGGCTTGGACACACACAGGTAAGACACCTGAAGCCACCAGTGGATCATTAGCTCGACATGCGTGGTTCATTGGATACTCCAATGCTGCATTAGAATAATTTCCATATGCGAAACGCCTTTGATTGAGAGCAGGCCTCTGGAAGCCCCCATAGTGGCTGTGGGAATCTTGAGAAAGGCTGGAACCCAGATGTAGCTGACCAGAAAACTTTTGCCTAGCAGTTGGATCTTGTTGCCTATCAGCCATCACTTAGCAGAAAATCAAACACCTGCAAACTCGACAACTTCTGTAATCAGAAGGGGAGCCAAGGAAAATATCCACTACTGTTTAAACAGTTTGAAAATATCATGCAACATAGAACCAATCATTGGAATAAATAGAACATAAGAATCGGAATTCATTGCTTAGAACCCCAAACTCCAAAAGAACATAAGAATAATATGGGAAAAATGGACCAATTGGAATTAATAGCTGCCTCTGACAACCTGACAGTTCCCCAACATAACCTTTATCAAACTCACAAAATTAAAAATTAAAAATTAAAAAAGGGTAATGATAAAAAAGGAGTGTAAGTGGATAAAATATGAGAAAAAGGAGTGGGGAAATCACCACTCTTAAAAAAATGGAGAACCATGAATCATGAATGACGATGACTTTCTAAACATGATCTGAAAAAGATTGGTTATAAGATAAAAAGGAATGAAAGCGAAACCTATCACTAAGAAAAAATAGATAGACAAATCCAAAAGTGTCACGTAGAATGATAGATATAATAGACTATGTGCAACACATCTATGTTAAAACTAAAAAGTAATAGCCAGTGACCATTTTGTCAAGTGTATTTTGTCTTTGCTATGTTGGAGAATATCCGGAATTCAAATTTCACGAACGACAGTTGTTGAATCAATCAAAAACACCTAACAAATGGTAATTAGAACCAAAAAAATCTTCAAATCCAATGAAAATGAGCGAGAAGACATATATCAGCATCAAAGTGAATCAAAACACTCGATGATCAAGATCCAAACTTTTCATGAAAGCGTCAAATGATGTAAAAGAGAAGAACAATGTAACCACACAGAGATGCATGCAGCAACAGTACCTTTGAAACAGATGGTGTATACGACACACACAGAGAGGAAGAGAGTGAGAGATCTAAGAAAACCAAAAGTAAAACAGGGATCTGACAGACCCTTTTGCTTGTTTATAACAAAAATGCAAATACAACAATCTGTGAACTCCGAAACTTGAGCAAAATACAAGGTCAAAAACACCACATAAATATAAATATAAATATAAATTAAAAAAAAGAACGCAAATTAATAGAAGGAGAGATGGGATCGCTGCAGTAAGATACAGTCAGAGACAGAGAGAGTCAAAGAGGGTTACCCTTTGAGCTTGGCACTCGGAATGTTAAAGGAGGAGAGCCTAACGAGGAGATATATATGGTGGGAATGACAAGGAGACTGCAGGGTTTGAAACCAAAATGGACACTCCCTCTTATAACGTCAAGTTTTCTTTTTTTTTTTCTTTTTTTTTTTTGTTCGTCAAGAAAAGAATGGTTTTTTTTTTTTAAAAAAAAAAGCAAAAAATATATAAATCCATTAGATTAAATTTTAATCAGGTGGAGTTTGGAGAATAAAAGTAAAGCATATCATGATAAAGAAAATCATAATAAAGGATCCGGATCCTTTTTGGTTGGGGATGATTTTATTTTTTCGGTAATTAAAACATATATATTTGTGGGTGATTTTAGTAGGAAAGTTATGCATTTGGCATGTGAATGTGAATGTGATAAATATGCATTGGTGGCATTTTTCATGCTTCCATTCCACAGCATTTTTAAGGTTGCCATACCACTTGTGCTACTTTGTCTTATTATCCACTTGTTGTGTGCCTCTGTACCTACTCAAGTTTTTCTCCATTTACCCAGGGTGCAAAGCAATCAAAGGCCCTCGTAACGGTTCAGTGGCTAATTTGTTAACCATAGTTGAGAGCTACTTGAAAATTACATTTAAACGTGAGATAGGTTAGTTAACCAATACAATGTACCGGTCCTCTTACATTTGATGTTGATCTCACTTCCGGTACATTAGAGTAATTTGGAATAATATCGTTGTAAAAAAATACACTTGAAAATTACATGTGAATGTATGGTTATGGTTCTTTTGATGGAAAAAAGAAAACATCTGAGGTGAGCATATCCCTCAAATCAAATGAGATGCACTGGGAAAAAGAAAAAAAAAGAGGAAAGATCGGATGCAAAACTGCACCTTAGAGCGCATAAAAATGCTTGAACCTTTTTCTAATCATTCATTTACAACAATAATAAAAACCAACAATTTCCTGAAATTCAATGTGAGAATGCCACCGAGGTTGAATAAAAATGGTTGGAAACGAAAACTGGGGTTTTACAGCAATGGCTAAAAGGATCAGAGGACTGCATCATTCATTTTTATTTCCATAACCCACGTTGGCAAATGTTTTTGAAGACTAAACCATATATAAACAACACCTACTATATGCCTTCAAAAAATGGAAAAATACAGTACTAACTTACATGATGTTACATCCTTTTTCTTTTTTCGGTCGAAACACCAACTTGCATCTTTACAGTAAAGCATCCAACAATCAACAAAAGTCTCAACAATTTCTAAAACTAACTCGACAATGGGTGTTTGACCTAAAAAAAAAAAAACAGTCGAGCGATGGGGCTCACAAAGCTTTGAGCTTGAAGGTCTTCTTTGCCGAATGTCAACCACGCTCCAATATTGCACAGACAGTACTTGAGCTCAGAAGCTATTGATGCCTGCCCAAATCAATCTGATCTCTTCCTAGCCCAAGAGATGAAGGCTCCAAGGAAGCATCTGACCTCCTCAAATCTATTTCCAGTTCCTTCTGTCTCAGGTGCAGTAACTTTCTCTCATTCTCTAGCTTCATTCTCTCATTCTCCAGCCTCAACCTCTCCAGTTCCCTGTCTTTCTTGCTACAGTATCTTAGCCATTTATACCTCTGCTTTTCAAGCTCCAAAGCTTCGGCCTGGAAGCCGACTCTTTGCTCTTGGAGTTGCAACTTCTGTTTCTTGATCCAGTCTCTTCGCTCCCATAATGACTTTGTTGGGTCTTGAAAAATCTCACCCATTTCAACTTCAAAACTATCCAGAACATATTGTGGCCAGAAATGGACATCCTCTTCACTAGCCTTCTTCCTGTCACCCATTCTTCTCATCCTCTCCCTATCATTATCTGCATCATTATCATCTTCGTTGTCTAATTCATCATCCTCGGTATCATGGTTTTCTTCAGCCTCTTCTTCATCGGATCCATTATTGTCTTTTGAGCCCCTCCCAAGAGGTAAAGAATAACCTTGGAGATCGAGATCATGGCAATCAGGTATCCTCTGTCCATTATGATAAGCACACATTTCTTTATAAAACAAGTGTTTTGAGCTCAATATCTTTCTAACGTCATCCTTCGCCTTGGCAGACAGGTGGGGCATTGAGTCCATAAGAGCAGGATTCTCCACCACTCTACAACTAGTTCCCCTCCCAAGAATATCATTCAACCTCTTATACCTCTTGTTCAAGTCATTAAACTTGTCCTCACACTGCTGAGGAGACACGTGACAACCTTTACTAATCATTATTTTCGATACAGTCTTCCACTTACCCTTCTTCTGTAAAATCCCAGATTTCCTCTTAAGCCCCTCGCCACTTTCAAGCGTACCATCATCACCCACGCAAGCAACAATAGCTATAAGAAGCCTAACCACATTATCAGTCCACTTCATTCGCTGCCATGGAGATCCCTTTTTGCCCTTGGCCCCTTCAAAGTTCTCGCCACCATCATCTGTATAACTTGGCTCGTCTTCATCACTCAAATTGTAACCATTATTGGCATTAAAAGGTGCCACTGCCTTCCCTTTGACAGTAGTCGAACAAACTTTTGGGATTGACCCTTTCACTTCCACAAGCCCAATGGGATCATGATCACCTTTAACGCCACTCATCACATTCATGTGATGTTGATGATGTGCTAACAACGGATGACCCAATTGTATCTCTTGGCGTCTTGGAATGGACGATTCAAGGTCTAGTATCCCCCCACTGGGACCAGACAAAAAACCACCTCCCAAACCTGAACTATCCATCTTTCCACACTCAATCAGATTACCCTAAAGTTCAATTCGGTTTTTTACACACACACACACACACACACACACACACACACACACACACACACAAAAAGCAAGAACAGATCAGAAACTAAAAGCTTTCAATCCTGACACTCAACTAAGAGGCCATATATCTCAGCTGTGTTTTCCAATTACCAACATCGAGACAACCAGTGTTTTCCAATCCTGATACAACTAGTTGGTTTATCAGAGAGGGTTTTTCCACCACCAACACCAAAAACGCTGGAAAGTTTTAAGATTCACAATTTCTTTCATTTTCCTCCATTTCCTCACCAATCAAACAGATTGTATCTTGAGAATCCCATAATGCCCAAAAACAGATTAGACCAACTAATGGGCAATCACTCAATACCTCTTTCAGGGTATAAGCTTGCGGCTGAATATTAAAGCAGAGACAATTTGAAAACAAACCCAGAAACGCAAAAAGATCCAATCTGAAGATTAACAAGTTCTGGAAAATATTTGGACTTCGACCCACGAATTTTCCTAGAAATTTAAACAAAGAGTTATAACGGTAATCAATCCAATTTCCATATATATAACGGTAATTAATCCAAATTACAAATATAGAATCCATATGAAATAGAAAGAGAGTCTTCGAAGCCTACCTTTTCAAGATCGACCACGAAGATTTCACCCAATCTGTAGATAGGTAGAGATTAAAATTTTGAGTCTCAGAGATTTCTGCACTGACTAGCTTTTAGAGACTGTTTGAGTTCGAAGGAAATGAGTTTACTTTTAAAAACTGCAAGGAACTCACTGCCGTTTTTACATCGACTGGATCAAAGTCAATGCTCTACACAGTAGTCGATGTCGTGCAAACTATTTCTAGGACATCCCCCAACCCAAGTATATAGTTTACAATGTGTTGCCAATAAATGGAAAATTGTTATAAAAATAATAATTAGAGTATGAAAAATAAAGTATGATTATATTTGCTCTCATGGTTTTTATACTAACTCTCTTACTCTCATAAAACTCTTCTAAGATAAAGCTCCTACTCTCAAATTTGTCTCTCTCTATTTTTTCTTTGGAGCGGTGGTGTTCTACAATTGAATGAGCAAGCCTATTTATAGGCAAATTGGATGGTTCCCTGTGCATCTCCAAAGTCTTCTTTAACCAACATCATTATTTTCTTTTTGACTATCATTTTCTTATTTTCTTTATGTGGGCTTCATCTACTTTCTTTACATCCATCTACTTTCTTTACAACAAAAATAAACTATGTGATGCTAATAAACGATAGTTTTTTCTATTATATATATTTTAACATTTCATTCAAAATCATTGATAGTGATGAACAGAATTAAACCTATAATGATAGTGTCAAAAAATTTCATTTTAATTGATTTGATATGTTTGTGGTCCAATTATTTAAGGTAAGAATGATTGAGGTAGTTGTCGACATGGTATTCAAAACTTATGGCTAAGAGGATCTTGAACTTTGCAATATTGACTATAATGATTAACTGCATATCTTCTCGGTTTAGGATTTAGGGTTAGGAGGCCATGTGCTTTGGAGAGAGTAATCATGATTTCTATGTGAGAAAAAGAGGCGTGATAGGAGAGAAATAGGTGGAATGGGGAGGAGGAAATGATGAACTTGGGAGGGGAAGAAGGGGCAGGGGCTCATACTAGGCCTAGGCACGATACAGGATGGAAAATGGCGAAATATAAACCGATCTCCACCTCTTAGAGAAGGTAATTGTTCCCTAAACTAAGAAACCTTAATTCTCCTCTTACAGTCAACTGACTTAGGCATCAGTGTACTCAATGAACTACTAATGTCTTTATTTTTTCTGTTTTCATGGCACAAGCTCCTTTATGAAGGAATTCAAGTTTATTCCCCACAAAGTATGTAATCCTCTAATCAAGTAAAATCTTTTCTTGTTCCGAGTTTACAATTCTGGATTCCAGATGGTCATAATGAGTTTGTATGATCATGGTGTTTAATTCTCTTTTTTTATGAATGTCTTGTGTTGTTGACCTCAACCTGCAGGAACTCTACAAACTACGGGAGAAGGCCATTCTTTGTCAGCGTGGGAGCCGGCCAAATGTAGGGTTAACCATCCCTTCGTTGCCTACAAAAAGCACCCCCAAGCCAAAGAACCAAATGCACTTCTGCTCCCTCTTACTTTCACTTTTACATTGAAGACTTTAAGCATCTCTCAAGGTAAATGTAACTTCTCATACATTGTGCTATATGTGTATGAATTAACACAATGAAGTTATGATATTTTTCATCATTTGAAATAAAATACTCTAAAAATATTTGCCTAGTAATGGTTAGTTTTGAACCAAAACTCAGATTAGAAAAAGGAAAAAAGAAAAGAAAATTTTGGATGTAAACGACATGTCGTATTTCGGTGTCTTCGCTCTTCCTATGCAGGAGATATTCTTTTGGGCCATGACCCAATCCCAGCAGCTGTCTTTCTCTAGATTTTCGGCTCACAAACTTTTTCCCATTCACCCAAAAACCAAACCTTTCATTTCTCATAGAGATGGCTATGTCCAGCCTTCTCTCTCCCATAACCCCTCTGCCCCTCTCTCACTGCAAACCCCTCCTTCACTCACCCTTCTTCTTCTCTCTCAAGCAACAATCTTTCCTCACTCTCACCAATATTTCAACCAAACCCACCAAGAAAATCAAACCCAGAAGACCGGTGACCACCCAATCCAAGGGCAGCGACGAGTCAGTGGATGTCCCTGACCGGTTGATCTCAGCCGTCTGTTACTTCTACCCCTTCTTTGATGGCATACAATATGGCAAGTATGTAATTACTCAGTTCACTGCCATTCAGATGCTCATCCAACCCTTGATACCAGCTATAAGGGTCTTCAAAAGCTTCCCTTTCAATGGGTTTTTGGTGTTTTTAACCCTTTACTTTGGTGTTGTTAGGAACTCCAATTTTAGTAGGTATGTGAGGTTCAATACTATGCAAGTTATTGTGCTTGATGTGCTGCTGATTTTCCCTGATCTTGTGGAGAGAAGCTTCAACCCAAAAGATGGGTTGGGATTGGATGTGCTGATGAGCTTGGACAGCACTGTGTTTCTCTTCCTTTTGGTGTGTTTGATTTATGGGTCTGCTTCTTGCGTTTTGGGTCAGGTGCCCAGATTGCCCATTGTAGCTGAAGCTGCTGAGAGGCAAGTTCCTTGAGCTGTTTTTGTAGCCTATTGTTGTTTTTGTTATGCTGGGAAATGGCAACAGATAATTACATTTTGAGTCACAATTTATGTTTATGCTTTTAGCCAAAAGAGAAGAAGCTCATATAGTAGTAGAATGTTGTTGTTGTTGTAAGGGACATTCTCGGATAAGTATTTAAGTTAAGCATTCGTTATGTACTTCTAATCTCGGCTGATGAATTGCATTTAACGGACTACCAATATTTGATTGAAATTGTGATTTTACATTATTTAAGGTAATATAACAAATTAGAAGCTGACCCTTTGTTTTTATTTTCCTTGCTTATTTTCCTTTCCTTTTGTTGTGGAAGGTGATCTAATTCAATTAGGAAAAGTTTACTATATCTGGGAATTGCAGCAAAAGAAAAATCAAAATGTTAGCTCTGCAACTACAATCAATGACTATATCTGGATTTCTTCTTGGGTGCAGGAACAAGGAAGCATAGAAAATATTGTTGTTAGTTGTAACAAAATTATGATATTATTTTTCTTGCTAGTTTACCAATGATTACTTATCTTCCTATTTTTTTTCTTGCTAGTTTCCCGTAGAACATAATTGCTTTCTTTCCTACTTCCTTGCCAACCAAAAATTAACATGCGTGCACAATTTAAAAAAAATATATTTTTAAAAAATTATTTTTGCATATGCGTCATATTGTGCACTGCAGGAAAGGGAGTGTCGTTTTCTGTCACAATTGGACTGGGTTTATGATATGGGTATGGGAACAAAAGGGTAATTAATGGCTCTAATTTATCCACCACACTGAAACGCAACGCAGGAGCTGTAATTTGCCACATGTTGCTAATGAACCTGAACTCTCTCTCATGTTTATGGGCCTTCCTCAATCCCACCAACATGGGAGTCATTTACGCATAAATGATTGGAAACCACACATCTCTTCCCCTTTAGCCGTATTGAACTCAGGTTTGAAGATGTGACTTTAGAATGCAACCACACATAAGGACAAGTTATTACATCGTTAGCACCACATAAAACCATTCCTCCTAGCGGAGCTGTTAATGTGAATAACAGAAACTATGTTATAGTCATTGAAAAAAGGGTGATGATTTTTTCACTTGCACTCTTTTTTATGGGAAACAATTTTCAACAAAGGAAGTGTAAGCGGACAAAAGAGAAGAGTAAATTTAGGTTTTAGCCACCAAAAAAAAAAAAAAAAAATTCACTTTTAGAAAAAGCCAAAACTTTTAAAAAAAAAAAACAGAAAAACCTCTCAACTTTCAAATCAAAGACATGCAAATGTAAAGGATTCCTTAGGAAATTCAAAAATAAATAAGGGCAATTTTGTCCATTTTGGTTTATTTTAAAAAAATTCTCTCTTCTTTGGCCTTTTCCAAAGTCTCCCAAAGAGAAGTGGAAAAATCAACTTTCTTGAAAAATGAAAAGATTTGTACAAATTATACCTTTTGATTTGATGGGCTAAGCCCAATACATGACTTTGGTGCAACTCAGGGCCCAACAAGCTATGGGCATGAAAAATTGTAACTTGGCCCATATATAGGAAAGATAAAAAAGAAACAGGTCTCTAGACACCCCATTTATTTGGACACCCTTCCACTATTCATGAATGTGTACCTACATATATTTTGAATTATAAAAACCCTTAAATAAAATTTAAACACACAAAAAAACTAGTTATAGAAAAAACAAATATATTGTTGCAACCCTTTTCCCCAACTGCCTTCGCTAACGGCATTGTCGGTGTTGCCTCCATCGGTTCTCGGTCTCCCCCACTTTCCATCCGTGCACCATGCAAGACTAACACCACCCCACCCCCCGTCTCTCTCTCTCTCTCTCTCTCTCTCTCTCTCTCTATAGTGTAAGGATTTGAAGATGACAATTCTTTTAGAAATGTCGGCGTTAGTTTTGCATATTAATTAGGAGATTTCTTTTGTATTTTGTGTAGGTGACATTTTCTGATGTAATTAAGAAGTAATTATTTTTCTTGTCTGACACACAATGTAACCTTACATATTTATTGCTAAGGAGAATAATAGGATATCTAAAAACTCCCTAATTTCATTGTTTAATAAGAAATAACGCAAGTCCACCTCTACCAGGGACAGACCTACATTGTGTACAAACAAGTATTTTTCTTTTGTTATTGTTAGTATATAAAACACATATACTAAATAAGTTGCAATATGAATTGTGAGTTGTCAACTAATGTTAATTTTAAGCATATATAAGCAATTGTTGCTGACATTGTTGGTGTAAAATTGGACTTTTAAATAAAATTTATATAATATTATGATTAATTCCATAAGTCTCCCTATAAAGTTTAGTTGGATTTAAAATTTAGCCCACCTCATTTTGAAATCCTGGGTCTGACTCTACTAAATAGGGCGGAAAATTCCCCAATTTCATTATTTGATAAGAAATATGGCACATAATAGAATCTTATATATTTACCTCCATAAAAAGAAGAATAAGATATCAAAAAAGTCCCCAATTTCAACTTTTATGCAAGTGCAATGTGCCACGTGAAACTAGAGGTCATGAGAACAATTTCTTAGGTGGAACCAAGAGTCACGTTGTGATTCATGTTTGGTTTGTTCAGGCATGTGACTTTTATACCGAAATTTCTTTGGCATTTTGTGGCCTATATATGGATTAACCATGCATGGCTATTATACTTTCATATTTGTATTACCCCTTTGTGGTTGATAGTCTTTGTATCTAATTTATGAATATAACTATCACTTATCTCTTATATATATATATATTTAAAGATAGTAAACTCTTCTCTCTCTAAAAAACCAAAAAACAAAAATAAACTCTTCAAATACTATAGTTTAACCAGAGGCCATTTAGCTGAATATATTATTTTGTTCACCGAAATTGAAATATAATATTGGGAGTCTAAATCACGTCAAAGAAATTCGCGTCCATCAAAACTAATAAGGGTTGAATTTTATAACAAAGTCCCTCCCACGATTCTCAAACCTAATTATTTGACTAGAAATTCATTTTTATAAAATAAAGTTTATATGTTTATTTATTTATTTTTTAATTGTCACAGGTTATCGTGATTCCAACCATGCAAATTGCAAATTGCAATTGTCGGTGGAGGATCTAGCCGATGTAAGATGGTAGATACATGCCGCCGCGTGGCCTTATCTTATAGGACTGTGGCCAGCCTAGCAATGCTTTGGGGTGTGTAGCAGATCGGCCCTACAATGACCTGGAAGATCACTCACTCACACAACTTCCAGCGAATCCACCCTCTCATTTCCCTGAAACTACAAAACTACCCCACAGTTGCTTGCCGACACGTTCCTGCCATAGCCGTTGAAAATCAACGGTCATATGCACAGTCCCTCAGACGATTATTCGTTGAGGTCAACGATTAGACGGGTATTGATGGATGATCACCACTTGAACTCTGTGGTCGTCCATGCAGCAAATGATTAGGGTGAGCTGGGCCCCAAATATCTTTCTTGGTCCCACAAGTGGCAGACTTAGCAACGTGCTAGTGGCTGATTCTATGCGTGCGAGACGGTGTTTAGGGGTTAAGAGAGAGAGAGAGAGAGTTTGCCTTGATTTCTGATCAAGTAGATGCTAAAACCACGTGATCTGCTGCTAACGTCCTTCTTTACATTATTCTTTAAAGTTTCGAACCTCTTTGCCGCTTCAAGCCTTCAGGTTATTGCCCAATTAAAATTTTAAAATTTTTATTTATTTAAAAAATAGGCTTTTTTTAATATATAAATAATTTAGAAAAAGTGAAATTATATTATTAATTTTTTTTAATATAAGCGATATTCTAAACTATGATTCGAACATAAGATTTCTAATCTGCAAGTTAAGACCCTTTTTCATTGGACTAAACCTCGTTGATAGTAACATTATATTATTAAGATAAAGAACTCAATATACCCTCTACATATGAGAGAGTTTAATCGTTGAAACTAGTCAAGTAGCCTATCCTTTCTTGTTAAGAGCAGACAGTTAGAGGAAACCAAAACCACTAATAGAACCTTCTATTATGTGGTCTATTAATTTGCCATCATAAATCTCACTCCTCTTTCTTTATCAATGAATATGTACAATACCCGACATTAATATACAAACTATTTCTTTTTCTTTCTCTTTTTGATATCAAGGAAAGGAACCCCTTCAAGGCATGGCCTTATTGGACTCGTCTCTGTCACGTAAACCCCGACCCACACTCCCGACCCCATAGTGTGTGCTAGTAAATCAGAAACTCGCACAACAGCAAGTAGGATTCGAACAGTTTACAGTTGGCCCCGGCTTGTCCTTTTAACCATTGTGCTACGCCCCTGTGCCAAAATATTTTTCTTGTAACTTGTATGGAGTCTTGTTGCATAATGGTTGAGAAAAAGTTGGACGGTTGAAATGGTAAGAGTTGAGGGAAAGTTGGTTGGTTGATGATTTAAAAAGAAAAAAGGGCTAACAATCATCGTTCACTTTGTAAAACTTTTGAATCTTAGAGACGCCCTAATTTCACCACATTTATCCAACACAGGATAAAACTCCAACATGTTTCACTTTTTCCATTACTTGTTAATAGTGGAAGCTTCTAATTCATAAGTTGGAGAAAGCTTTTGTTACTGATGCTTCATTCATTGGAAGGGAATCTTCCATGATTTTATCCATCATCTTGCTACTCAAGTGTCGGCAACCACTTTTTCTTATGTTCTTCAAGCATGGAACCGGCTTGTTCATTTGATGGCATCTGACCCGGCTCCATGCTCGAAACACCTGTGAAAAAATGATCACTTGAAATTTTCAAAAATAAGTTTGGTTACTTCTGAAAACATGTTTTTGAAGGAAAGCATGTTTGTTAGAGACTAGATCTTGTATTATTATAGAACCTCGATGATATGAGAGAAAACTTTATTCATCATATAATCTTATCATTTTTATGTATGAGAACCAATTAGTCTTTGGTCTATTAATATTTGTCTCCACTTAGTTGGAGGAGGTCTCAAATATGTGATGAGTTTGATAACTAGTTAGTTGTGATTAACCTTATTGTGGTGGCGCAGTTTTGTTGTGAGTATATTGGACCGTTGTAAAAGTCTCTTATAAATATCTTATCGTTTATATAGATATATATATATATATAATAAAAAAACTATACGAACACTTTTTTTTAGGGCAATAAATAACCTTAAAAAAGAAGAAGAATTATTTTCGTCATAAATATAACCCCTCTTTGTTAATGAATATAGGCAACACTCTACACTGAGATACAATTAATTTCACTTATTAATCAACTTTAGGTTTAATGAGTGTTTCCGGTCCAAAAATGTTCCAATGAGCTTGTAGATTTATCACAAATATATATATTTTTTATTGGGGACAACCATTAAAAAGAAAAATTCCCAAAATCCCAAATCTCCGATCTATAATAAGTTTATCTTTTATGCCTAATAATTGCTCTTTGAGAAAATTCTAAAGAAAAATCCCTAGCCAAAGGGGTTGGCGGCCACCCTTCTTACTCCATCCCTTTTCTTCTCCTTCCCTTCCTTTTCCCTTCGGATTCTTCGATTTTTGTTTTGTGATGTGGAAATAGTTATCGTCGCCATGATATAGTTTTCGTCTTTTGGCCCACGCATGTAAGAATTTGGCTCAAGTTGTCAGCCTTCAATATAGATTTGAAGCTACAAAGCGAGGATGATGTCAGGTTGCGTTGGGTCTGGGTTTAGCCGGTGCAATACTATGGGTTTAGCCAGTGTGGCATTATGGCTCTCTTCGAGTTGCTTAAGAGGATGTGGAGTGGTGATCTTGTTTCTTAGTTTGTTTTAATCTATAAATTCCCATGAACTATTTAGGAGTTCAATGTGGCCTTCAATATAGATTTGGAGCTACAAAGCGAGGATGACGTCGGGTTGCATTGGGCCCCGGTTTAGCCGGTGCGATACTATGGGTTTAGCTAGTGTGGCATTATGGCTCTCTTCGGGGTGCTTAAGAGGATGTGGAGCGGTGATCTTGTTTCTTAGTTTGTTTTAACCTATAAATTCCCATGAACTATTTAGGAGTTCAATGTGGTTTGTTTTTTGTTTTAGATATTCTATTTCCTTTTGGCTTTTCGATACAAATTTGTCGTTTCTGTCATACGCAGCAAATCTTTATTGTAGGTTTGAGAACATGTGCTTATGGTTGCTAATTTGGGGATCAAATTTTAATCATTTTTTGGGTTGTGCATATTCTCTCGACATCAATTCAACTTCTTGTTGTGTTTTGTCATTGAATAAGAGCACTTCCAACGTTGGCCTTTAGCCCGGGCAACAGGGGGCCCAAGCCCCCATTTCACATTCTAGTGGGCTTCTACAACCCTGGCAGCTTATGGGTCCCAGCAAACCGGGCCAGCCCGCAGGCAAAATTAGCCATTGCTCTTGCCTGGGTTTGCTGACGTCAACAACAAAAAAATAATTATAAAAAAATCTAAAAAAATTACTAAAATTTTCAGAAACTTCTCACACCAAAACTCTATACAAATTCATTTCCTAATATTTCATGTGAATACTAGTTATCATGGCAATAGATGGAAACACCACAAGCCTTTTGCAAGGCCAGCTAGAATCACATTTTGGGCTTTGCCCTCCCTGCCCTAACCGATGGAACTGCTATAAATTGTAGGGAGTTTCACTAAAACACCCAAAATGGGAGTTGAAATTATAAAAAAACCCAAGCACTATTTAAATATATAAACACACCCAAAACCCATCATTACACACACTCAAAACTCATTTATAAACACACCCAAAAAATTGACTTTGGGGTTGATTTTGGGTGTGTTTCTATGTTTAAATAGTGCTTGGGTTTTTTTATAAATACATGTTTAGGATTGGGTTTATTTATAAATTTGTATAAATTGTATCCATATTCGGAAACTTAGTTGTTTTATACTTGTTTTTGCTTACCTTATCAATAAAATACTATTGCTCTTTTATACTAATAATAAAAAAATTTTGTCTTTTATATTTTCGACCAAAAAAAAAAGAGCCCTCTTTCATAGATAATACTTGAAAACTTGAATGACCAGTGACCACCCGCCAATTGTTTTGAAATGGTAAATAGTAGAACAAAAAGTTGATTTGATGTTATTAACAAAGGCTAATTACCGCCCACTTTATATAACTCGAAATCTTTAGAGACACCCGAAACATCGCCAAACCCCAATTTCTCCAATGATTTAAACAAAACCCGCAACCAAACAAATTCCCCCAAAATTCTCCGCATAACAACGAAAGTACAAAGAAATAAAAGGGACCCATACACAGGCCCTTGATGCTTCACTCAACTCAAACAACAAAAGACACCAAAGACCAAACCCAGGTGGCTTCACCTGTAATTTTCCTCACATCTAAGCCCCATTCTTATAAACCTCCCCCTCCCTATACTTTCCTCCGCTCTCACTCTCACTCTCACTTTACACCAAGCAAACCCACACCTCTCCCGCTCTCTCTCTAAAACCCATCCCACACTTTCTCTCTCTAAACCCAAAATCTCCAGATCCAAAACCCACTCACAATGCAGCTCCGCTGGGCTACCGCCGCCGGCGCCCTCCTCCTAACACTAACCCTCCTCACCACCCTCGCCCAAGCCCACAACATCACGCGCATCCTGGCCAAGCACCCGGAGTTCTCGACCTTCAACCACTACCTTACCCTGACCCACCTGGCCGCCGAAATCAACCAGCACACCACCATCACAGTCTGCGCCGTAGACAACTCCGCCATGTCAGCCCTCCTCGCCAAGAAGCCCTCCATCTACACCATAAAAAACATCCTCTCCCTCCACATCCTCCTCGACTACTTCGGAGCCAAGAAGCTCCACCAGATCACCAACGGCACCGCCCTCGCCGCCACCATGTTCCAGGCCACCGGCTCCGCCCCCGGATCAGCCGGCTTCGTTAACATCACCGACCTCAAGGGCGGAAAGGTCGGATTTACCCCCCAGGACAACGACGGCACCTTCCCCGCCCATTTCGTCAAATCCGTTGAAGAGCTTCCGTACAACATTTCCGTCATCCACATCAGCTCCATCCTCCCCAGCCAGGCCGCCGAGGCCCCGGCACCGGGCCCCGCCGAGCTGAACATCACCAGCATCATGTCCGCCCACGGCTGCAAGGTCTTCGCCGACACGCTGCTCGCCAACCCGGACGCCTTCAAGACCTACGAGGACAATGTCGGCGGCGGGCTGACCGTGTTCTGCCCGATGGACGACGCCTTCAAGGCTTTCCTGCCGAAGTTCAAGAACTTAACCAGGGCCGGGAAGGCGTCGCTGCTAGAGTACCACGCCGTTCCGGTGTACCAGTCTATGGCCACGTTGAAGTCCAACAATGGGCTGCAGAACACTCTGGCCACTGACGGCGCTAGCAAGTTTGACTTCACCGTCCAAAACGACGGCCAGGAGGTCACTCTGAAGACGAAGATCGTGACGGGGAAGATCACGGGGACTCTGATCGACGAGCAGCCCGTGGCTATTTACACCATTGACAAGGTTCTGCAGCCCAAGGAGCTTTTCAAGGGTGCTTTGACTCCAGCGCCGGCGCCGGCTCCTGAGAAACCGGCCCACGCGCCGAAGAGTTCGAAGAAGAAGACGAAGACGAAGGACACGCCTTCGCCAGACTCCGAATCGCCCGCTGACTCGCCGGATGACAATCCCGCGGATCAGACTGCGGATGATAATAATGGAGCCGTTGGGGTTGGAAGGTTGGGATTTGGGGGATTGGTTCTCAGCATGTGGGTAGGCTTTTTACTGCTGTAAGTTTTTATTTTAATTTGTTTTCACTGGGCAATAAGTGAGATGAATTTGAGGTATTTTTTCTTTATAGTTCTGTGCGTGGGTGTGTTGGGTTTTTATTTTACTTTTAAAAAAAAAAAAAAATGTATGGGGGAATTTGTAAGGTGGTTATTTTTGTTTGTGGAGTACTTGGTATAGATTCATGGATCTATATATACACTTAGAATGTTTTCAGTTATTTTTATTTGGGATGTTTTTAATTATTATTTATTGAATTTTTGGACAATGTCTTTATAATGTGAATGATTTCTAATTTGTTACTTTTATTTTGCATATGCTTAAAATTGTAAGAGTTTCTTCATTTGAATTGTGAAAGACAAGTTTGAAATAGAGAAGCGTTTGTGAAATGGAAGTGTCTGTTGGAGATATTCTGAAATGCGGGTAAATGTACGAATGCTAAATGTAGAGATTCAGAATCTAAGAAACAAAGTCTCATCTCTTTTACTCCTATGTCCTGTCCTTGAGATGCGATTTATTTATGGCATTTTATACGGTTTGGTGGAACCGTGTCCATTATGATCGATCTTACCTTTATTTGTCCCTAAAGTCCTTTTAATTATGTATAAATATGATTGATTTGGTAGCTACCTATGTAACAAATCTAAGCTCGAGAGGGTTTATCCTTGCATCTGAAGTCTCGTGTTCAAATCCCTCTTTTTCAATTTCGCTTGTATTTTTTTTTAACGCAAAACATTCAATCAACGCATAACAATATATATTCTTCTAATCAACTGTATGGAACCAAGTATTTTCCAAAGGTAATAACTTACAATATATACCCCATTAGCTTGATGAGAGGTGATTTTCTTTTGGACAAGGAAGCAAGAAATAATAAAGAATTTTATTTTCAGGATGAAAAGAAAAAGAAGTTTCTACAAAGGAAAGTGGGTGATCATCTTTCAATGATTTGAATTATAGTATGCTCGATAGTGATAGCGAGATAAAGAAACATGGAAGCCTCACGGAGGATGAGCTGCCTTCCAATTCTTGTGTCAACCTCAATGGCTTTATCACATCCCCATTCCCTTTAAAATGGTTCACATGATCCCAACCACAAAACCTACTAGTCTATGCAACGGTTCAATAAATGTGAGGTAGTTTCCAGAAAAACACAACGAAAGGTGTCCGTCCAACACACCGGGGAAGGAAAATTATGCAACATGGAAAAACAAAGAAGGCATTTCCAAGGCCAATATCAACTAGTAACATTATTTACTGGTTGCAAAACAACTAGAAACAGTTGTCCAAATGTTTAGAGGTCGAATTCTGTATCAACATAGAAAACATAGTCAGAGAGTCACCCAATCGTTTAACAAATTTTTACATTCTAAAAAAGAAAAATGATTATATGCTCGACTTTAGTATTTACATTTTTTTTCACCTCTTTTATGTGAGAGTTTTATTTGTATTATTATTATGGCTTGGTTTTTTTTTTTATTTTTTATCCTCAAGCTTTATCTCTTTTTGGTTATTTTGAGTTGCACTCTTGTTGGGGTGCTTATGCAAGAGTTTCTTCGATCTAGAGTGATCATTAGTAGAGGAGCCCAATATTCCCCTAATTTTGATGTTAGATTGTTCTGTTATTGTAATAGCCTTTTGTGTTTAGTGACTTTTTTGTCTGAGTTATGAATGCAATTCCAAAATTTCTCAAAAAAAGAAAAAAAAAGGTTAATTCTAATTTAGTACCTTGGACTTTCACGCATAAAGCATGTTAGAACCCTTGTTTTTAATTTTAACATTTAAGCATTCGTACTTTTTGAAATTGTTGCAATATGATTATGTAGTAAGGTTTATTGTTAAAAAATTCATTAAATGATGATGTGGTATATGTGGGGCCTACTTTTATTCTTAAGTTGATAAAACATGAGTCCGAGCAAGAAACTCATAAAATAAAATAAAAAACTAGGGTCTCAAATTCTTAGACTTGTGGCTTAGACTAAAATTTTGTGTTATATTCCTATTTTAGATCAATGCACTAGACACTAAGTTATATCAGGTTTGATAAGAGTTTAAATTTGGTTACCTTGAGGCCCAAAACCTTCTGAATTAAGGAAAGTTTTGAAGCTAATTAAAGAGGTCTTATTTATTTCCTTTTGCGTGAACCATTGCTTAATAGGCTTAGAGTGTTAGTCAAGTCAGCCCTTAGTGATGAGTATAGACAAATTGACCTAGCCCTATATAAGCTTAAGATCCTACACTCTCACAAAAATTATTTCAGCTATCTCTCATGCATACACAAAATGCATAATAAGTTTAAACAACTAAATAGTCAAAATGGTAGAAATTATTTAATAATAAAACTGTCAACCAAATAGCATCCTTAAATGCAAATCTCAATCCAGAAAGCAGCAAATTAAACATACTTGAAAACTATCAAAATGGGAACAAGACTCCCACTAGATTACAGCATCTAAGTTAGGAAATAATCTCATGCTCTCAACATGTCTCAGAAAAGGTTGTGAAAACAGAAAGGTAAACGGATCTGCAATCATATCTTGAGTTCTGATATGATCAAACCTGACTAGTTTGTTTTGAAGCCAATTGTTGAGGCCCAAAAATCCAAGGACGAGGCCCAAGTTTATTCTTGGCCCAACACAAATAAATTGATCATGAAAGAAACCCAATCAGGACATAAGAGAAATTGTGGGACACACCCACATAAGCCGTGGGCCATGCGTCATGCCAAGCAAACATGCGCAAAAGAATAAAAAATGCACCGGCTTTATAAATTCATGCTCACCAACCTATCCGATGCCACTTGGCCCGATCATAGCTTATTGCGGTACAACAAAACTCAAGCACAAGCATGATAAATAAACACGCGATGCCATCTAAAAAACCACTATTCCAATACCAAGCCATGCTACAAGCTTAAGTGGGCCTAAGCCACATAATTACCTGGGGCTTGTTAAGAAGGTTGTGGTATGGAGGGAAAAAAGCAATCATAAGGCCCATTAAGGGTTCGAGGAGCGAAAGTTTTAGGCCACTTGGGAGCATTAAAACTCAAGCCCATTCCTTGGGCCCAAACACATGGGTTAGCATGAGAGAGGAGAAAAAAGTGATCTAATGCCTTAAGAAGACATCTAGTAGTCTGCTATAACACTTAGACAAATCCACATCAATAAAATGCCTAATTAAATAAGCCATTTCCAACAGCTTGACGAAAACCCATTAGACGCTGGAAATAATATGCTAAAAACCCAATATTGTACACATAAGCCCAGCCTAACGATTTGTAAAAATCTATCATCGTGCTTCACCCTTGTCAGAACTCCAAGATGGTCAACGAGGAACCGTGTGAAGGACTGAAGGAAATCCATGAATATAGGAAGAATACCCATCGGACAAAAGACTCTACCCACCTTCCTTTTCTACTGTAAGCTTCCTTTTGAAAAACCAAGAAGGAAAGCAGGTGGCGCCTCACCCTCATGGGGAGGTCCAGCCACACAAAATCCTTGAAACCCCAAATGGCTCCTTACCCATGCACTTTGGATAGCAAAATTTCACCAAATAGGATCAAGTGGGGAGAAGCAACGGAAAAAGGAGAGGGGGTTAGATAAAATTAGGGTTCTTTGTGCCTATAAAAGGGAGCTTCCTCTACCCAGTAACAACATCATCCAGGGCTTGACCAAGCTTTGTCAAACAACTGAGAATTTACTCAAGCCACCCAATCTTCTTCTTTGGTCGTGTTCTTCTTTCTTTGACATAGGGACCTTCTTAATTTTCCTCTGCCCTGTTTAAACGTTTGTTTTCTGTAAGAAACTCATGCTTCTCTCTCTCTCTCTCTCTCTCTCTCTCTGTGTCTCTCTCTCTGTCTGTCTCTCTCTCAAATTGCTAAACTTGTTAAAGCTTAGCTCCCATGCCACAAGCTCCTCAAGCCAAGTCACTCATCAACTTATCATGTTTATTTGGCTATTGGTGAAAAGAACCTAAGAGCATTTTCCAAGAGTTTCATCAAACTCTTCAAAAACTATTTTGGGAGCTTGGTTCTCGAACTCAAGCACTAGGGGAATTCTGTTCGTTTTCTTCTTACGGCAGCTCGAGCCTATTTGTCAGGCCGCTGGAACAAAAAGACTCCTACATAAATTGACGACTTCACTGGGGACAAGGCTGCCATTTTCACTAATGCCTTCGAGGAAGAAGACTAGGAGCAATACCATGGCTTCCCAAGATGGGCCCAACCATGATGATTCGGAATCAAGGCAAAATACCTCTTCTAGAGAACAAGAACGTGCAAGTGAGGGAGCTTTTACCCTCACAGATCTCATCACAGCTATACAGGCTATTGGGGAAACCTAGAGGGAGATGATGGACACCATCAAAGAACTAAAAAATTCTGTCTCCAAGCCAAGTGAAGAAAATGACAGACACCCACAAGAGGAACCTACTGCTGCTGGAAAAGGGTATGAATAAAAGAGACCGTCTTTTGTTACACAGGAGGATGTCGTTATCATGCTGGAAAAAGAGCTTAGCCGAAGCCAGGAGGATTGGAAGTACATTCCTCAGCCACCATATCCATCGAGCTTACTCCAATAGCCATATCCTAAAGGCTACGAAACACCAAGCTTTGTCCTTTTCGATTCAAGGAAGAGAAGCCCGAAGGAGCATATCAACTGTTTCGTTGATGCTTTGGGACCGCATATTGGTGATTATAATCTTCGACTTCGAGAGTTTTCAAAATGTCTTACCGATTGGGCTTATACATGGTACACAACATTGGCACCAGGCTCTGTTCGCTCTTGGGATGATTTGGCAAGCAGGTTTTGTAAGAAATACTTTCAGCATGAAGAAAGAGTTACTATCACTCAGCTCAACAACACCCGCCAGAAGCATGGGGAAGATCCTGTGGACTTCGTACACAGGTTCTGAGACCTGGCTCTAGACTGCTATGATGAGAAGGATGAGGAGGCACTTGTCGAAATATGCATCAGCAACATCGTGGCAGATTATAGAGTTTATTTGGAGAATATTGGCATTAGTCAATTTTCTCGGCTGCTGGAAGCAGTGAGAAAGACAAGTATATCTGTCAAATCAACAGGGCAGAAGACGTGGATGAGTGAGAAGAAGGAAGCACACCAAATTCTAGCTATAGAAGACAAGCCATCTAGTGACTACAACACACGTAAGCAGAAGGATAGGGAGACATATCCACCACTACCATGCAAAGATGAAGAATTCCATGCCATCCTTGACACGATGATTGCTGAAGGCGCAATCAAGCCCCTCAGGCCCTACAAAGTCCCTACTAGAGAGCAGAAAAATGATCATAGATACTGCCATTACCATCAATGTGTAGGGCATCCAACCACTGCCTGTTAGAGCTTAAGGAGGATTTTACGTGCTAAAATACATGAGGGAGTCCTTGAGCTTCCCTCTAGGAAGAAAACCATTGATGAAGACCCCTTGCCAAAACGAAGGGGAAAAGAGGTAACTGCTGTCATTACATGTTCCGATGATTTGCTCGATGATGATGAATTGTGCCACCCATGGAGGAATGACCCAAAGCCACCAGAAGCTATGTGGGAACCTTGTGGAAATATGGAGAAGACATATTGGAGTAAATACTCAAAACCCTCAAGTTACAACACGCCATGGCCGCTCGCTGACGGATAGGGTGATGACTCAGGTAACGAAGTTTTTATGTTAGACATGCCTGAAGAATGCTCCTTGTGGGCTTCATCAAGAGAATAGGAAACAGGTGCTGTGACGTTTCATCATCTTACAGAGGCTGAAACAAGCGTGATGGAGCGATACCTAGGTCTGAAGCAAGGGCCCACAACTTTGCAAGTCCTCCAAAGAATCCCAAAGTTCAAAACACTCTTTGACCAACTTGGCTTTGGGCCTCAAGCAAGGGAAGCAGCTACTATAACTGATAAGTCCATAAATATACTCATTTATGTACTCTTTTTACTTAAGTTTTGTAGGAGAATTAGATTTAAAAAGGGCTTATTACTTTACTTTTCTGATTTTCAGCTTTTCTGCGCTCTTAGAAGGTTTTTAAGGAAAAATCAACTTTTCGGAGGAATTTTCTATCAAGCCAATTGGTACAGTATTACAAGTAAAGTTAGCCCACGTGCAGACAAGACAGTTTCATACATGTTACGTGAATGTGAAGAAACGGAAGCCTTCCTGAATTTTCCAAGTTACGTGCTATATATGGTTGGAAAGATAAGACATTTATCTTTCTAAAATATATTTTTAATGATTTTTCTGCAAGGCTGAAGATCCCCAAATCGTGTGACAATTGGGCTGAGCTGTATTTCCCTGTGGAGTTAGGAATTGTGATTTTTACTTTCCTATTTGGATTCCTTGTTTACCAAGACTTCTTGGACGACTTGTCAGTCAATTTTAGGGTTTTAGAACTCTGATATAAGTGATATAAAAGGCCAGCCAAGGCCCCGGATACAGATTCACGTCCAAAAGGGATCAACCGCGTAAGAGGAGAAAGCTGCCAACGAGTTCTTTCTTTTCCTTTCTTCTTTTAAGTTTCAGTTCTTATGTATTTATTTTTGAGTTCATCCAAGAGCATGAGTAACTAATTTCTTGTTAGTTAGGGCTTAATCTTGAAGCCCTAAACATGATTTCAATTCTATAGACAAGTTTGAATGGATTTTCAGTTTCTACAAGCGTGATGATTTCGGTTTCTCTAGGTTATGTGAATTCTGATATTTTGTTTCTTTGAGTAGCTAACTTTGAAGCATGTATTGGAATTAAATTGTTGTAGAACATAGGTCAATTGCCATATTGAATGTGTTCTTGTTTGCAACGAATAATTGGGTTAAGAACTAGTTATGAGAAATCGATTCTTGAATTCCTAATAACAAATGCCATGTTTTAGGGTTTTTGTGACACTCATATTCTCTTTGATCTTAATGGATTCTTGATTGTTAATTTGAGTAAATGCCATACTAGATTTCAATTAAGAATACACGTATTGATGTAAATGCCATACACTTTACATGCACTTAAGAGAGAATCATACAACTCGAGTCAAATGCCATGATCTTGTTGTGAGTGTCGTCATCATATGATTGCTAGAAATTGATTATCTATTGTTGTGTATGAATTGATTGATTGGTTAGAGGTGGATAGTGAGTCCTAGCTATTGTTCTTGATTGATTATAAACCAATTTCTCTTAAACTCTAATTTAAATTCTGTTTTGTTTTGTTTTCCTTATTTTGTTTTATTCACAAAATCAAATCAAAACCCCCCTTGGTGTTGGCAACTCTCATGAATATCTCTGCAGAATTCAATCCCCATTGCTTTGCTACCCATCCATAAGGGTCATTCTTGGGAAATGATAATGTTATTGTTTTTACGGATGAAGACATGGACGTCCCATATCCGGATCATAGGAGGCCACTCTACTTGAAGGGACAGATCAATGATGTGTTGATAAGTTGAGCTTTGGTGGATATGGGCTCTTCTGTCAAGATTTTGCCTTTGTCCGTCCTTACAGTAGCTTGTATTTCACTATCCAAGATTGTGCAATCCCAAACAAACATCAGTGGTTTCAGAAATAAGAGTGAAGTTACAGTTGGTCACATGCAAGTAAAGTTGAAGGTGGGCCCAATCCGATCACTTACTAAGTTCTATGTGGTAGACATGGATGTGGCTTACCATGCTTTACTCGGAAGGCCATGGCTCAACAAGCACAAACTTGTAGTCTTTACTTACCATCAATGCGTGAAAGGAAGGATTGGGCTGAGGCCACTTCGCATACCTGGAAATCAAGCACCGTTCCACAAAAATGAAACTCACTACTCCGAGGCAGAATTTTACACTAAGTGCACAGGTACTGGAAGCAGCCCATCCAAGGATTTTGGGACCTATCTGCCTTCATGGACTGAAATTCGTGATCTAAGCAATGAAGAACTCATAACCATTGTTGATCGAGAAAGAAAAAGACACTCAGAGGTCAACAACCATGCTTATGATCATCCCCAATGCTCGAAAGTAACGCTGCCAGACGGACGCACCGTGTACCACTTATGACGGGATTGGGGGCTCAACCGTGTTCTACGAGAAAACCTCGAGTATTGAGGAGAAGCAATGAAAGCAAACAGCCCTAAGGGTCCAAATGACAAGGCACTCACGCCTTGTGCTTTCTAAGAGCCAATGACAACACCTAGACACATGCAAGATGGACAACAACGGTAGCTGAGTAGCTGGAAACAATTAATTTGAGTGAGGATCCCTCTGCCCCATGGCCCATCTCCATCAGCATTCATTTGACAAGAGAAGATGAGGCATTGGTGTCTCTGTTAAAGGAATTCCGAGATGTGTTCGCTTGGAGCTACGAGGAAATGCCGAGCTGAAATCCAAACTTAGTAAGTCATACTTTGATTATTGAGCTTGGTACGAAATCCGTTGTGCAGCCGAGAAGGAATTTTCATCCTGAAATTGAAAAGCAAATCAAGGTGGAGATTGAAAAGTTGCTAGCTGCTGGATTCATCAGGCCAATCAAGCACCCAACATGGCTAGCAAATATTGTTCTTGTGAAAAAGAAGACTGGTGTGATTAGAATATGCATGGACTACCGAGATCTCAACCGAGCTTGCCCAAAAGATGAATTCCCGCTGCCCAACATGGATATCTTGATCGATTCAACCTCGGGTCAAGGCTTGCTGTCATTCATGGATGGGTTTAGTAGCTACAATTAGATCAAGTTGTCACCCAAAGATGCCGAGAAGACAGCTTTTCGAACACCATATGAGAATTTTTATTACACGGTCATGACGTTTGGTCTTAAGAATGCTGGTACCACCTACCAAAGAGCCATGATGGCGGCGTTTCATGACATAATGGGAAAAGAGGTGGAAGACTGTGGATGACCTTGTGGTGAAGTCCAAAACCAGAGAAAGCCATCAATAAGTTTTGAGAAGGGTGCTGGAAAGGTGCCAGCTGTACGGGTTGAAGACGAATCCAAAGAAGTGTGCATTCGGGGTTTCATCCGGTAAATTCTTGTGGTTTCAAGTATACCAGCGCGGCATAGATGTGGATCCTGAAAAAACTAGGGCCATAAATTCTCTTGCGCCACCTAGAAACCCAAAGGAATTGAAAAGTTTTATGGGAAGATTATCATACATTCGACACTTCATCCTAGGCCTTGCTGCCACTGTGAGTGTTTTTACTCCCTTACTTAAGAAGGGCAAGCCATATGAATGGAGTAAGGAATGCCAAGAGGCCTATCAGCAAGGCGGCGGAGTAGGTGTAGTGCTCGTTAATCTTGAGGGGCAAGCCACGACCCTCTCATTCAAGCTAAATTTCCTATGCACAAATAATACGGCGGAGTATGAGGCTTTCATTATGGGAATGGCTACAACAAAGGAGATGGGTGTAGAAAAAAATTAAAATTATTGGGGACTAAAACCTGGTGCTGAGTCAATTACAAGGGAACTTTGCTGTGAAGGAAGCAACATTGGAGCCATATCGTTTGACAGTTGAAAGGCTTGTCAATTCTTTCAAACAAGTTGTGTTGGAACGTATTATAGGGGTTACTAATAGATATGCTGATGCTTTGGCTACCTAGGGATCGAAGCTCTCATTTGCTGAAGAACAACCCAACATTACCGTGATAAAAAAGGATATGCCTGTAATAACCCAAACCCAAAATTAATATTTAATTATTAATTTATTTGAGAAAAAGACAAAAATACCCCTAGAATATTTTATTAAATTAAAAGTTGACTTTTTGATCGGGAAGGAATTTGGAGATTTTAGTTGTACCGTTGCGTAGAGCGCGACGAAACGAGTTCGTAGACATGTAGTGGACTCAAATCGGAATTGTAAAGAAGGAGTTACGATCAAAAGAAGTTCAGTGGCATAACCGTAAATATTTCGAAGTTCAGATTTTATAAACCCAGATTTTCTGGTTTTCGGGAGAGGACCAGCCGACTTTGGGAGCTGTTTTCTCTCAGCTCCGACCTCCGATTCAGGCAAGACCAGTGCCAGACGAACCACCAAACTTCCCTCTTCCAACTTCAGCCCTTCGCCGCCTCTATCTGCCGCCATAGTCGCTGGAAACAGAAGCGAAACAGGCGGTGTTCGACAGTTTTTTCGTAAACTTTCGCCGGCTCGTTCTCCGTCATCCGGCCACCATTTCCGGTGATCCAGGTATGGAAACTCATCTATTTCTCGAGCCCTAGCTACTGGTTGGGTAGGATTTCAGAAATTTCTAGCGTAGATAACTCGATCTTGGATCCAAAGTTTAGCCGAATTTCGGGTTGAGATTCCGGCCAGTTTTTGGGGTAGGTCCAAGAACAAAAGTGGCTCCAAATAGGGTGTTTTACCTAGGATAGGAGTCTTGAGCCGAGATGTTGAGATTTTCCGGCGAAGCGTTATCACTTTAGGCACCACGGGCTGCCGGCGCGTGGGCGGCACGTGAGCAGTAGGGTGGAGACAACAGTCAATCTTAGAATGATCTCCTAGTCCTCACGAGCACGTGGGATTTTGC